CCCCAAAACCCCAAAACCCCAAAACCCCAAAACCCCTTCTTAAGTAAATTTACTGAAGAGTAGAAATTATAGCTTACAAACCATTATAGCGGTTTGATTTCATATAAGACCTCATAGATGTTACAGATTCCTCACTCTGGAACTTAAATTTGTTTGAATAGGAGCTATTATGCCTTCTTTTTTTCATCTTATCCAACTGCTCATTCTCTCTTCTCCTCTTTTCACCCAAACTTGCATGTTTTACTATCATGTTTTTCTGTTGAGAGAAGGAAACTGCAAAATTTCTTTCTTTTTGGGCAAGAGATCTCCTCTTTTTGGCTTGAAGGACCATTTGTCTTTTACGCAAAATCTCTCTATCTCTCTGATTCTTGTCTAACTCAATCAGCTCTTTATGAAGATTCTTTTCTTCCTTGACTAAGTTCTTAAAGACTGAGACATTTTTGTCTTGTTCAGCCTGGCCAAGCTTTTTCATTATTCTCCCGATCTCTCTTGATTTAGCTATTCTTGATTTAAGTTCAAAATTTTCCCTCATTCTTCTCCTTTTGTGATTCATGACCCAAGATTTGGAGGTCTCTGCATATTCTTGGGCTGGAGTGTTGGCTGCAGAGTAATTTGAAAATGCCAGAGGAGTATGCTTTCCATACAGTGTCCTCACTGAAATTCCAAAGCCCTCTAGTGCTTTGGATTTGGCATGGTTAGTCTCATCCTTAGTGAAGCTCACTCCAGAGCTAAGAACCCTCTTATGAGCTTTCTCTGTTTCAGGCCGGAGCTGAAACTCTTCAATTTGTTTGGAGGAGACCAAAGAATTCTTAGAAGACCGCAATGGCTTTAGCTGGGTTCCTACTCTGTCTTCTGGACTACTGAATCTCGTCACTATCTGCCTTTTAGCTCTATTATTTCGAACAATGATGTCTCTATTAGACAAGAAAGTTTCTTCAGTAAGCTCTGGTCTTTTCTGAGCCTTGATCTGAACGATAGACCTGCCTTTAGTTTCTTCATTAGCCTCATTCTGGTCAATTTCTGACTTAACTTGAGTCATTAATTTCTCAGAAACTGAGAAGAAGACATTCATGTACTTCATCTTCCTGTCTCCTTGAATTTCAAAAAGGTTCTTCTCATCTACCTTATCAAGGTCTTCTTTGTGAAGAATAAATCCTGAATGAGGGATCTGCTTTCTTGTATTTGCTAAACTTATCCGCTTTGATGACTTTTCCTTATTAGATTTCTTCTCAATAATTCTTTTGATATCTTTGGATCCCTTAATTTTATAAGACAACCAAATTTCTCGAATATTTGAAAGAGAGGACAAGGCATCACTGAGATTTTGATCAGTGAATAACTTAATAAACGAGTTATTTCGGACATTATAGGTCAAATTTGCAAATATGGATGCTCTCTGACGTGCATCTTCCACAGTAGAACACACAATTTCGACAAATCTTAACCCTTGTCGTACCTCGATTGACTTTGTTTGATAATCTACTATCTCGTTAAAGTCCTTAATGGTGCATGGCTTTTCTACAAAATGGACCAAAGCGTTGGGAATATCGCTCCAGTACTCTTCATCTGTGGGAATAATGTGCTGAGGGAATTTCTGATGATACCTAATCTTACATTGATAATCTGAAGTAAAATAGAAATTAAAAAACTGTTCTTTAAACTTCCTTTTCTCTAGTCATTTTTGGAAAATGTAGGTAATGTTTAGATAAATATTCTCCTCAAGATATAGCACGTTAGATTGGATGGATTTCATGTGATTCCTGATCGTGGAATTAGCTTTAATTCTTGCCTTGAATTTGTAACTCCTCCAATACGCTTGAATACATAAAGAAGCCCTCCATTCGATCAAGGTTTGAACGTAAGTCTTCCTCATTCTCTTTCTAATAACATAATTTCTATAGAAGCACTGGATTTTAATGGCTGCTGAGACTTTCTGGACAGTCAGCTCAAAGAAGAGAATGAATGGCTCTTTATCATCAGAAATATTCCTATTGTAATTATTTTACTCTACCACAAAGTCTTTGCAAAATTTTGAATGTGGGAGGTCTAAATACCAAGAAATCATATGTATCAAAGTATCTAGAAATTCCTAGATTCTTCGACTCCAGATCTTGCATCTCAGCTACTGCTTTCTTGTCATAATAGACACGTCTTTTCTTAATTTTGTTCTTAAGAATATCTTTTTCTTTCTCCATGTTATTATATCAACAGTAGAAGTCAACCAAGCTTTTCCCTCTGATTGCGAGATCGCGGTTGGTCTTTCGGAACTTTGACTTAATCCCTGCCATTGTAAACATAAGGATGGGATATTCATACTTTTTATAATAAAGAGGTCTCTGTGTTCTAATAGCTGCATAATTTTCTACAGGGTCTATACACTCAAGGATTTCAAAGTAATCCTCTCCTTCAAGGAGGTCTCTCTCATCTAACTCCTTAATGAAGGATTCTAGTAGATCCTTCTGCTCTTTTATAATCAGTATAACCATGGAAATTCCTTCAGATTGAAAGCTTTAACGTAGGAATGCTCCTTTGCGATAAAGTACCTGAAATATTTTTGGACAACACCTGCTTTCACAGTCTTTACCTTCTTGCTCTTAGTCGTCTTTGCGAAGCGCTTTATGTATTTATTTTAGCAACTTCCTTGCATAGTATTCCTTCATTTCCTCGTTAGTCATCATAAGATATGGTGTCTTATTAAGGTTCATAATTTCGGCTAGTTCTTTCTTCATTTTGTATCTCAGCCTAAACCCTCTCCAGACTTTTTGAATTTTCTGGATCGACCACCTAATCTTGCGAACCTGTTCCTTGTATTTTTTACGGACTCGATAAGCTCTAAAAGCTGATTGGATCCTGATGATAGGAGAATTATTCTCAAACCTTCTACGGAGCTGATACAGCTTCGTCTCAAGTGTATCAATATGCTTCTCAGCAGTCATATTCCCAATGAAATCAGGAGTCTGAACCAGCATAAACTGGTTCATTGCTGTAAACCTTTCTGATTTTCCATCTCCAAGATTATCCACTCTTTCTTCATCAGTGATGATATATTGATCCAGACATAACAAATTAGGCATTGAGTTTACTCAGTAGTGCCTATAACCTGAAATAGAGGACACAGGATTATTGTAAAGTGTCAGGTGTACCAACGATCCCATCTTTGTTAAGTCAGTCAAATTCTCCCATTTGCTTAGATTATTATCATGGAGGTACAACTCTTTCAACCTTATTAGTGAGGAAAGTGTCTCTACCTCAGGCAAGACCTTTATCTTATTATTAGATAAATCAAGCTTTCTAAGTTCTTTAAAACTTGACAAATTCTGTAAATCGCTAGTTATAATTCTATTGTTCTGGAGGTAAGCTATTACCAAGTTTGGACACCTTTTCAGCACATCTAAGCAAGTAGTATAGCCCCTATTTCTCAAAGAAAGTACCTATATTTCGAAATTAGCTTAAAAATACATAAAAATTTCCAAATGTTTGATTCAAAACCTAACTTTTCTATTTATAATTCTTTCAAACTATCCCTCAAATAAACTCATCAAAATATGATTTTAACTGTGCTTACATTAATCTCATCCAAACTCTTGCATTCAGTGAGGGAGAGCAGTAGCTCTTCGCTAATCTTCTCTGACTGCATACTTGTCCTGTTGAATAAATATATATTTAAATCGACTTGGATGGCAATTTTGGGGTTTTGGGGTTTTGGGGTTTTGGGGTTTTGGGGTTTTGGGG